GTAAAAGGACATTTTAGTAATTTTTCTGCCTCATTCATTTTATTAGCATGCTTTCTATATTATCTTTATATTTCTGGGAACTCTGAGCATTTGTATTTCAACTTACCAGTCTTGCAGGGTACTCCTACCAATGTTGGTGGCTGATATGCCTCTATTTCAGTGCTTCTTGGTGGCCACTGGTGTGGAAGATTTTTCTCTCCTGAGTCTGCATGATTTACATGCAGCAATGAATGAATTACAAAGTGCAAACTGTATGCTTCTGCTAAAAATCTGGGCTCCTGAAGGGTTCCCTGAAATGTTCTTCTGGTTTCAGAAGAAGGATACAGTCAATGTTTTTATTGTACAGACACATCAGATTTTACATGTAGTCCAGATATTATCTTCCATATGCATTTTTTTTCATTTCTGTTTCTATCTTTTTGCTTTTTTTCTCATGGTGAATATAAAATAGGTGTGTATGTGTGTGAGAGAGTGGGGGATGAGAGATAGAGAATGTGTGTGGGTGTTGACTCCTAGAAACTGCTTAAACAGATCCCTGTAGTTTACTTAGTAAAATTTCAGAAGGTTTGCCATTGTCCCCTTCCTAAGTATGAGGGAGACTGATTGGCCCAAGATCACCCAGCTGCCTTTGTGCAAGAAAAGTCAAGAAAATATAGAAGACTTAGATAGAAGAAAGATATAATCAAGGTCATGCGAAATGTTAATACCACTCTATAATGCCTGGGTAAGATCACACTTAGAATACTGTATCCAGTTTTGGTGTCGCAATGTAAAAAATATGTTGAAAAGCTTAAAAAAGTACAGAGAAGAGCAACAAAAATGGTTAGGGGACTGGAGGCCAAAACATATAAAGAAGAGTACTAACAATAGCACTTAGACTTATATACTGCTTCACAGTGCTTTACAGCTCTAAGTGGTTTACAGACTCAACATATTGCCCCCAACAATCTGGGTCCTCATTTTATTGACCTTGGGAGAATGGAAGGCTGTGTCAACCTTGAGCCAGTGAGGATTGAACTCCTGACAACCAGCAGAATTAGCTGACAATACTGCATTCTAACCATTGTGCCACCATGGCTCCTGGAATTGGGTATGTCTAGTTTAATGAAAAGCAGGACTAGATGTGACATGATAGCAGTGTTCCAATATCTCAGGGGCTGCCGCAGAGAAGAAGGAGCCAAACTATTCTCCAAAGCACTTAAATGCAGGTCAAGAAGCAATGGATGGAAACCAATCAAGGCGAGAAGCAACCTAGAACTAAGAAGAAATTTTCTGACAGTTAAAACAATTAATCAGTGGAACAATATGCCACCAGAAGTTGTGGGTGCTCTAACACTGGATGATTTTAAGAAGAGTTTTGACAACCATTTGTCTAAAATGGCATAAGGTTTCCTGCCTGGGCAGGAGGTGGAGTAGAAGGTCTCCAATGTCCCTTCCAACTCTGTTATTCTGTTAAGACAACAACATGGATAAATCAGCCAAAAGGAAAGCAATTTTATAAAGCCATAATAAGAAGAATGTTAGCTGAATCTTATTTCAAACTAGCTGCTTTTGAAAAGGGGAAGGCATTGTTACATTGCTTTCTTCTGTAAAACCTTTTTAAAACTAGATTTTAGACATTCTTTTTATTTGGGACTCTTTACCTAGTTTCATGCAGAACAAGAGCCAGATCAATGGATGCCTGTACAAGAGGGCATGTACAGTATAGTCCGTAAGTACAATTCCATTTGTCTTTATTCCATTAAATAGATTTGCAAGAAGTCACATGTCCATTTCTTATAGCCACCCCCATTTATCACATGACTGTGATCATCTCTCTGTTTTCTTCCAAACTTAAATGTTTGCTTAGCTTAGAACTTACTTTGCAGTAACAAGAGTAAGAATGGAAACAGTCAAAGAGCAGTTAATCACAGAGGAGACTGTAAGGAGGCAGCTGGTCTAAGTAGTGAATTGTTTAGAAATCACAGTATTTTTAGAACAGTTTTTTACTGACAAAAAACAAAGGAAGATTTGAACTGCACTAGAAATCGTTACAACCTCCTTGGGATATGTATAGAGTTGGGAATGTCCCCAGAGAAGATTAAGGACATTCTAATGTATTCAGATATTTATATTTTTCTTGAAAGCAATATGAGTTCTTCCTCATGCCTGCAATCTGTCACTCAGTTGTGGAATGTAATGGACAAAGTAATCAGTAAATGCTGTAAGGGAACAGCAGTGCTGCTGACAAATAGAAGTAGCCTATTAAAATTTAGGCAACATGGCATTGTGCCAGCATGGAAATAGAAACAATAAACAGCCATGGAAAACTTCTTAAGATTAAACTCATTGGTAACAGTAGAATATAGCTGGCAGAACATGGCTTTCTTTGGCAGTTCGTGTAAATAATGCTCTAAGACAATAGGGTCTGTCAATATCTTTTAGCACTAAACTCATACATCAAAAATATGATTTTAAAACTGAAACAGCTAAATACAATTTTATTCTGTCCCTGCTGTGGATTGGAAATGAAACAAAGGCAAGAACATGGAGAAACATGATTTTAAAATGGCATATGGGACATCATAAATAAAGGGTTGTGAGCCTCTGAATTGATTCTAACGATGGTCTCTGGTCCTTCTATGCCCTTTTGACAAGCATGTCTAAAGTAGATAGGGGAGGGGCACTTGTTGGAGAATCAACTACAGGAGTAGGAACTCTTTGTGCCTTTATCCTGTTGCTATCAAAGGGAAAGGAACTCCCTCTTTGCTCCTCTCCTTCTCTCCTCTCAATTTCTCTCCTCTCAATTTCTCCTTATTAAAAAATTGATACTCTTCATTCTGCTTCTGGAACTAGAATCCTCTCTGTCATTTCACACTGCAACCACCCCAAATCTGTCCATAGTTGTTTAGACTGCTTTTCAACTTGTGTTTTGCATTTTTCTGGTTGTCATTGGATAGTCAGATTCCCTTTGAATACACCAACAGATACTTGTGTTGGTGTACACAGATAATTTTGTTTAAGGACTAAACTCATCAATCTAGCCATCAATCTAGCCATCTAGTCACAACTCACTTCCAGCCCAACAAATTCTTACTTTGGAATTTTCCATTATGCTAAGTCTCTGGTTTACCTTATCTTGTCTAGCTTCTATATATGAATTAGAAATATGTAGCCCAGAAATTTGACTTTTCCATTTTTTATTATCTGTATTCTTCCCCTTCTCTTTTTTTCTTTCACTTTTAGCTGACTCTATACTTGAGATTTCAATATGTAGAAAAGTGTCTGTGACTCTTACATGTGTCAAGCTAGTTTATTTGAATGGAAATTTTACACCTAGAGCAGAAGGAGACCTGATTCTGTCTGAGAGGAAGATGCCTGCAAGAGTTGGTTTACCATACTAGGAAACAAGATTGGGAACAAGAATAATCTGTCAAATGAACAAATCTAGATGTAACAGCAAAACAAGCCAATCAATTGCTTTGGAAAACATGTAATGAATGAAAAATACAAAAACTCAAATGAGTAAACACAATTTGTAATCACAAATCAAAGAAGCAGAAGTCCCTCGGTCTCTTTCCCTTTCCTCAACCATTGAATAAATGAAAAGCAATCAACAACTCCAGCTGTTATGACAAAAAATGGAGACAATGGCATAGAAGAAGACGAATTCCTGAATCAGTATCTACTCTGGACAAAACTTACCCTTCTTGCTTTCTGGTACTGTAAACATGATAATAAAGAATATGAAAAATAGAAGGACCCAAATAATTTCCTGACTTGTAATATTTCATTCTGAAGTACTATATGTCTGAATTTAATTACCAGAGATAGTATAATTCATATTGTATACAAACAAGATTTTATTTATATGGCTACCCACTTGCCAGCCGTCTGGAGAACTAGTAAGTTAAACACATCAGAAAATGCATTGGCCCTAACAAAGCTACAGATAAGCATATACAGTACTAGAAGTTCACTTGTTCACCTCTTGACTTATCCCATGTGAATGGTCCTCAGCGAGTTGTTCCAGGGCTAGTTAGCTGCAGCAAGTCGATCAGATCAAGTTGGCAATGGCAAGATGAATGTGTTGAGTTGGCCGCAGTGAGTTGTCCCATTTCAATTACATCTATCCACACAGTGTCCTTGTGTGGAATATGACAACATAGAATTAAAAAGTTGAAAGTCATCATCAGGAATAACCCCCAGCTCAATGTAACAATTTAGGAACGTGTTGCCAGAAACTAGTGTTTACTTCCAGTTTCCAGCATGAACGCACATAGCAAACAAGACGTTTATTTATTTATTACAAAAAGGTCATAAAATTGGGTCCAGTCACATCGTAACTAATTTATAACAGTCATGACTTAAGACTGTAATTGCCAAGCTCAACTATAGTTGCAAAGTGAGGACTATATTACAACATTTTCTGTTTCATCTCAAGCAGAAAAATGTCTTAGGCTAGTCCTTCTGAGGTCAGGAAAAGCAAACAAGCAAAGTTATTTGTTAATTTTTTATTAAAGCTGAACTTTCTGCTTCTGGCAAACTATTAACAGAAGATCCCTTAAGGGAGTCCAAAGGGGGGGAAATTATTAAAAATTCCATTGGCTTTATTTTGGGTTCAGGGATTTAAACCATAGTCAGAAACAGCAGAATGATCCATTAGTTATACCTTTCATTGACTGTAAAGGAAGCAATGTCTAAGTAGGGTAGACAAATAAGTGCTTTGCTATGTTACCCAAAGAACCACAAAAAATATCAAAAGCAGAAATATGTTTGCATGATATTTAACTTTCCAGCTCTTAACAGGTGCAGAATTCTCAAGCCAGAGAAGCCTAAACAGAGCTGTCTGGAGAAAACAGAAGGGAAAATAGGTTGTCAGTGTGTTGCTGTTTCTGAACTGAACTTATTGTATATATTAACAGGAATCTGAAGAGCACTGACAGAACAAAAGAGACTCAATACTCATTGAAGTACTGGAATTTTTTTCAGAAGACTAGAGAAAAGGGAGTGCTGCAACATTTATCTAAGATTTGTTTATTTTGTTTGACTCTAACAACCCTTCTATTTAAGGTCAGCTATGGGCAGTTTGTTCCTAGTGCAGCAGGCAATAGGTTGGTGTCGTGTTCGGCTGCCCGTGGTTGTAACTCAGAGATTCTGTACCATGTCTTCTCAAAGACATTGGGTGTCTCCTCCTGCATCTCTACTACAGCCACTATCTGTCCCAGACAGATTATTACTAGGACCTGGGCCTTCCAATTCTCCTCCACGGGTCTTGACTGCAGGTAGCCGACAGCTCATAGGACATCTACACAAAGAGTTGATTCAGGTAAGGACTATACTTCCAACTTCTAAAATCAGCAGGATTCCTCCATCAATTTCCACTCACTGCTTTGTAACCTTGAGATACCACACAGAGAGATGTTTATCTACTCAACAATAAATTGATTTTTATTCTAATAAGGCTCATATGCTCTTAATTACATTTTATTCATTGTATTAAGCCAAAAACCAGTTAAGGGCAAATGAAATAGCTGGAGTTCTTAAAATGTATTTTTTTACAATTTTTCAGAACTTTATTGAGAACACCCCCATATGATTTTGTTTAATTTGGATATTCTGATTAACAGTTTACAAATCTTCAGGAAAAAAAGCTCTTTAAATCGATTCAAAAATCACTGCTGAGATCTTGTAATCTTCATTCTTCCATATGTCAGTGGAAAAAAACCCTTTCAGTTCTCTTGCCTGAAAAGGATTGTACAGTTTAAGTTAAAAACCTATAATCTTTCAGATAATCTGGATATGAGCTTTTTATAGATCACATGTTGCTGATGATATATTTCATATTGATGTCTTCTGAAAAACCATGTAATCCTAAATCATCAGGCAACTTCTTCCATACCATAATTTGATTGAATTAACATTTGTTATTACCCCTCATAGTAAAACAGAATTACAGCTTATTATAAAAAGAGAACAATATATTGGATGAAAAGAAATATAGAGTGAAGAATAAGACTTAACATCTGCATCATTATACGATATCTCAGCTTTTCTAGTCTCTTTTTCTCCAGTCTCATCCTGGAACCTAGTTGCTGGATGGCCCAAGTCTAGAGAAATTGATCAGCACAATTTCAGAATTCTTTCAACCTGATCAATGATCACAAAAATTACAAAAACTTATATCAGTAAAACAAGGTTTGCATCATTGGTCATATCACTTTCATTGCTGCTACACAGGAGCACAAGCCCTAACCTTAAGGGAATATTTTAGGTTTAAAGCAGCTGAAAAAGGGAAAATATAACCGTTACCAAAATTCCTAGGAAACAGAGAGTTACGTTTTAAGATGGGAAGCTATATAAATCTTAGAGAGAAAATAAGCTGTATTGGTTCAATTTCCCCCAGATTCACATGGCATTACAATGGAGAAAGTTGTGGTAGGATTATTAATTTCAGAGACCTTTGGGCCACAGTTCAGTTCCTTCTACCTTTTTTCTTAAAGCGATGTATGTTTAAAACAAATACATTTTAGTTGATAGAACAATATCAGTTTCTCCATCTATGCATGTTAGATGTAAATATATTAAACTATCGCTGAGTGGGGAAAGCTTATTACTTCTTTTTTCTCTCAGATAATGGATGATATTAAGGGGGGAATCCAGTATATATTCCAGACACAGAACCCTCTCACACTGGCTATCAGTGGCACAGGCCACTGTGCAATGGAAGCCGCCTTCCTGAATTTGGTGGAACAGGGAGACAAAGTCTTAGCAGCTGTGAATGGAATTTGGGGAGAACGAGCAACTGACATCGCAAGCAGACTTGGTATGAACTTGTTATATATTTAATAGTGAGCTTCTTTACTGCTAGATGCAAACTGACATTTCTTTCCCTTTTTCTATTGAACCATGACATTTACTGAGATGCCAATTGGCTGCATTTCAGAGAATAGCCATTACAACAATTTCGGCTGCAAACTTAAATCCCCATTTACTTTGAGCATACTTCTAATCACTTTGAGCACACTTCTAATCACTGCCATCCTATGAAAAATCCTTCTGTGTCTCTGATGTGTACCATAATGTCAATTTATGTTTTTGCGATCTCACTACATCCAACAAGTTGTTGCTGCACTTGTCCTATATAAATCACAATGATAAGAGCATAAAAGGTATGCATGAAGTTGAGCATTTCTTCATTAAAAGGCATGATTAATTGATTATGTTATAAATGATTATTTTATTAATTTGTTAAAATAATTATTTCTTTTGTTTTTTATTTTATGGTTATTTTAAGAAGGGACTAGGTAATAATGACATTCAGTAAACCATGGTTACAACAAATAATGGCTTACTATGTATGTATGGACCCAAACAATGTCAGAATAATTCATAAGAGATTTATTGTGGCACAAAAGTCCATATAGTATAGTTGGGGAAAGCTGGGATTAAAGATTATAGGGCAGCACACATGAAGCACAAGCAGCAATACTGTAAATCATATGTATATAAAACAAAAACAAATCTCACAGAATAACCCAAGTGTAATGAAATATCATTTACATTACACTTGGATAAGCCATAACAGTTTTGAGAAGTACAAAGAATAAGAATTATAATAACTTCACAAAATCAGTAATAGGTATATTATTACATGATTTTCTTATAATGTATTAACCTAACTAGACCCTAGTTCCTCTTTTGGAATAATCTGGGTTTGGCATGGTAAGGGTCAAACTGTCCAAGAGGCCATTCTTGCAGTTACCAGTTCATGAACAATTTAAATGAGCTATTTAAAATGTCCAGAACACGCTTGAATTGTATGTTCCTTGCAGACATCCAGACCCATATAAAAAGCCCATGCCAGAGATTCAAGAAAAACCACCATTGCCTTGAATTGGATTTCTTCTGATGCAGATCCACAAAAGTAATAACCTGAATTAGGATCACAGCAGAGGGCAAACAGTTAAATACCTCCCCTATCCCATGCCAGGATCTTGATACCATTTATTAAAATCCATTAATGTAATTATTTTATTACGCTCATACATAAAATAAGTAATAAAATTTAAGTTATCACAATATATCTGAGAAAGTGAGAAAACCATAAGTCTATTAAATTTCAATGATATAGTGGCTGCACATGTACTTTGCTTCCAGAAAGCATCATTGTAAAATTCCAATTGAGACAGATTCCCGTCTGAAATCTTGGAGAACTGCTGATCAGTGCACTTAACTCTGAAACACATGAAATAATAGTCAATTTTTGAAAAACTGCATTAGTGATTCAATCCTCTAAGCTCAGCTTTTTTGAGTAAGAACTTGGATTGGATTAGAATTCCTGATGCCTTTTCTTAATTCAGAAAAAAGTCTTTTTGCTTTTTTAATAATCAGTGAGACATTTTAATAATTAAATGCCTTTTCCCCTAACGCCACATTTAACGATAGCTTATATTGGAAGGTCCCATGGAATCTAGCTGGACTTTGACAGACCACTGCTACGTAGTCAAGTTAATATATGACTCATAGCAAACAGTAACTCTAAAATAGTTGGTTGTGCTTTCCTACTGAAATGTGAAGTGACTACAATTCTCTTGTTACTCAGGAATGCTAATCCAATCCAAAGTCTTAATCTTAAAGGCTGAATCACACAATTAGTAGCCACACAAACCAGTCATACAATCTACCAGTCCAAATCATTGTAGCACAAGTTTTGCCAATAAATATGTTGTATTCATTTGTCACATTAGCATGCCTATCTGAAGCTTGCTGTTTAAGAAAAAGATTTTTACTCAGGAAAATCCAACCTCATTAACTTGGAATTTCTAAAGGGATGCTAAATAGACAATTTCTTTTCTTTTAGATCATAATAAAATGGATTCCAGTAAAATGAAGGAATTTGTCAATACTTTGTTATGTGATATGAAACACATGCTTTGTTTACTTTTTTTTCTAAGTGTTAATATTTTTCTAAAGTTTTAGGAGCTGCTTCTTCCTTTGCTTTTAATTCCACACTATTATTATGCTGATATCATTTACTCCCTATAGGAGCTGAAGTACATCAATTGGTAAAGGCTCCTGGAGAATATTTTACTTTAGAAGAAATAGAAAGGGTGAGTTGTGGGCAAGTACCAAAAGTATATTATTTACTGAAATGATTTCATACTTTCTTCCATTTGGATGTACCAGGGACAATCTATAGAAATTCATCTTCTTATTTACCAGAAACATGCTATTGACTTGTTTTTTTCTTTGCATGATTTTTGCCCCTTTTTCTCTTGATGTGCCACTTAGGGCTTGATGCAGCATTCGCCCTTTTTATTTTTCATCACACATGGAGAATCATCCACTGGAGTAGTTCAGCCACTGGATGGCCTGGGAGACCTCTGTCACAGGTCAGTGAAAGAAGGAAAGTCAACCCCATTAGTTTTAGAACTAAAGCAATAGGGCTGCTACCTATAGCTGGAGACGATTCTGGGAGGTACTGAAAACATATTGCATATGATTGTAATTCAAAATGAAAGTATTTAAGCTAGATGGCTGGCTCTGACAATAAAACAGAAAGAGAAATCATACTACACATTAGACTACAAGGGAATATAATAGTGATGCATATTGATTGACTTGTAGGCCACTTCAAGGTAGCTTACAGGTTAGAAAGTAAAATAACAAAATGAGCTAAATAAACAATAATACACACAGCACACAGCGTATGTATTAATGTGCAGAAAAGATAATGCAACCGTACGCCAAATGAGATCATGGTCAGATTTTTTTATGGCTAGCATTTGTGTTTTTTAAAATTCAGCTTCTAAAACTGTTGGTCATAAAACCTGTACCATGATAACTTATGTTGTTAATGAATTTCAGTGAAGTGGCCTAAAGGGGAAAGATGGCTTGTATGGGAACATCTGATATTTAAGATGTATTTACTGTATATATAGTGCATCCATATGATTAATTAAGAATAACTGCGTTATTATAGGGGCTTTGAGAAACTTAATAATAAAGTATCAGAAAGAGTGTTTTGAGGTCCTTGGTGCTCTCTGAGCTTGGTTGTTTTTCTTGAAGACATTTCATTACCAACTATTACTGAAAAACATATAGGAGGTAAACAAAATGACAAATGGACAAAATTTCACTTTTACAAGATCATCTCAAGTACATAGAAATAAGAACAGTTTTACTTTTAGCTACAAAAGCTATGGTACAACAAACAAGAAGGCTATGATGAGGAAAGGTAGATTTGGAGAATGCTTCATTTGTCTCCTCCATTTATTTTTTGTTACAAAATGCAACTGTTTGCTCAGTTAGAAGCATACTTTTCAAAGTTGTTCAACTGGATGGAGGAAGAATATGGAAGTCTTATAACTTTTCTTCCATGAGTAATAAAATAATCCTGGGAAAATGACTTTCACTCAACATGCCCCCCCCCCCCCGCCAGTCAACATTGCTCAAGAGACAAAATTTAACAGCTTTCTAGTATTTAACTATGAAGCATATCCAAAGGAAATCTGCTCAACATATTTTAAATTCTACCAATTTTTATTTAAAAGTCAGTGATAGTTATTTATAGATCACCAATATGGCTCTTACAGCATCACTAACTGGCCTCTATCAACCCAAATGTTTAAAAATTAATGTTTTTATTTTTTTCAATTAAAATGGCTGAAATTCTACCAGATCTGTATTTACTTATGAGTTTTCAAGCTTTCATTTTAAAAAACATTGAAAACAATTCATTATTACCTGCAACATGATGTAAAATCATATAATATTGCTGTCAGCTTTGGAAGACCTATTGAGATTCAGTGCTGCCACAATTGAGCCTGAGAAAGTGGGAGGGAGGAATTCATTTGAGTATATTTAGTTAAGACAAAATAAAATTCTTTTGCTGGTTCAAGGTCACTGAGTGTGGCACATAATGAAATGGGAATCTTCCTTTAGGACGGATGGTGATTGGATCGTGTGATGTGATGATAGCTAAGAGGGGATGGATTTATAGTTTTGACTTTTGCAAGGAAGCCCGAAACTTTCAGATTCAAGGTTCCACAGATGTGCCAGTTACTATCCAAATAAAGAAACCTTTGAGAGATGTCTGTCTCGGAGTTACTGGTTGGAATGGAGGGTTGCTGGAACATTGACGCTTGCTTTCTAGAAAAATAACTGATCTTTCATCATCATTTTAGATATAATTGCTTGCTACTGGTAGATGCTGTGGCATCATTAGGTGGCACTCCAATACTTATGGACCAGCAAGGTGAGCAAGATACAGCAATCTGTTTTTGTAGCATGAATATTTGTTCCTATTTTATAGCATTAATTTCTGGATTTTAAAAAAAATGTAAAATTGAATTTCATTTCTGAAGTTCTTAACCAGATTTATTTGATCAACCCTTTTTAGTGAAAGTTCATACTAGAAGACAAATATAAATTTGCTCAGAATATATTTTGGGCATTAACTCTTTTAATTGCACAGTAACACTAGCAGAAAGGGCTTCAAAGGAAATATCACAAGAGACAATTCTATTTTAAATTATAGCCATGATATATGAAAATCCATGAAGATCCCCAAACTGTTTCCAAAGCTCTTCCATTTCCTAACCAGTCCTTTGCTCCAATTGGGGAGCCACTGCTTAACAAGGCAAATGACCCCACTTCATGAGGAAGATGCTCATTTCGTGAGGAAGTCCCACTATTACCATGTGATCCATAAAGCACTTTCCTGCAACAACTGTGATGTAGTTATTAAAGTATTGGACCAGAACTAGGAAGATCCAGAGACAAGTCTACCATTAGCTACTGAATAACTTCTGGGCAGTCAATCCCCACCAGCCAATTTGCTTCAAAGGGATCAAATTAAGAGATATCCCTCCCCCCCATAAGTTCCCTTGAACTCTTAGAGACGGGATATAAATCTAACAAAATTGTTGCCCTTGGGCCAAAATATAGGTTCTCTTTGGGCATACCTTGCAGAGAGTGATAAATAAATCTAAAACTAATGTTCAGATAACCCCAAGAGGTTCATTCACTGGAAATGGAGGAAACAGATGGTTAAAGATCATGCTAGCTGGATTGATGGAAATGGCTACTGAATATACTACACAGGATTATCAGGTTTGGGGAAAACATAATTACATGGACCAAGAGCCCCCCCCCAAGAGTCTGGGGGGTTATATTATGTTTTAAACTGCTCTTAGACCTTTGTGGGAAAGATGGTGACAGCTAAACCAGTTTGGGCAGTAATGGATGCCACATAATACTCTATATAAAATGAACACCACATTCCAACAAATCAATTTCGCATTGAATTCTAAAATTAGCTACTGTCCCACAAAATGCTGGTAAGAGGCAAAAGAAAGTAAAAAGCAAAAACCCAAGGATTTTCATGGTAAATTTATTTCATGCATTAATAACAGTGATTCACATGAAGGAGCTCTTAACTAATTTTCTTATTAAATGCACAGGTATTGACATTCTGTATTCTGGCTCCCAGAAAGTTTTAAGTGCACCACCTGGTGCTTCTCCCATTTCTTTCAGCAACAGAGCCAGGTAAGGAGATTTGTCTATGAGATATATGATTTTCAAGTACTATATCTTTCTGGGACAAGACATACACTGAGTAAGAGAAACAAAAACATATTTATTTCTTGATATCCATTAAGCACAAAGATATCTTAGAAACACATTTTCCAGAACTGAACATATCTGGAAAGCGGCACTATGCGGCACTATGCAGAAAGCTAGAGAAAACTTTCTCAGAACTATATACAAAAATAAAAAATAATGAGCTTCCACAGTATTATTATGTCTAACTTGTTCTACAAGCATAATGCTACAACAGAATATCTTATTGCAACCTGGTAATGTAGAACCTATTGTGAAAAAAGAGCTAGTTTGGTGTAGGGGGTTAAGGCAGCAGTCCCCAATCTTTGCGACATGGCAACCCAGCTGGGGGAGGGAAGGGGAACTGGGCCGTTTGAGCAGCAAGCCAGTGCACCCATACAGCCTTTGCTCGAGCAACGGGCCAGTGTACATGTGTCAATCCCCGCCAGCCTACTGCTCGCACAAGTTGAGCACACATGCATGCTAGCCAGCCACTTACATGGTCCAATTCCAAATAGGCCATGGCCTAGTACTGGGCTGCAGTCTGGGGGGTTGGGGACCTCTGGTTTAGGGCATCAGGGTAGAAACCAGGAGATCATGAGTCTCTTAGCCCCAGGAAGAAGGGAATAGCAAATCCATTGGTCTTAGTATCTGAATCTCAGAGATCCCAAACATCATGCTTTTTTTGTAAACTTTAAGCAAGCATTTTACCAATTGTAATTAATGAAGCACCTCAGTACACATAGTAGGATTTATCTGAAAAACTCAGGAGATATAGTAGGAACATTCTGTTATTTGACTGCATAGCTTCTGTTTCCAAGACTGTCACACATTTTAGCAGTTGCATACAATTTCTGCAGGGTTGCTTCCACTGAGTAATAATACTATGCTTCAAACCATCCTAGGAAAGTGTATTGTCCAAACTCAGAAAGCATACAAGTACACACATAACATATATAGAAGATAGTAAATTCATTCATTTTAACATATTATTAGCAGCAATACAAAGGACCTATCCAAGATTTTATTTGTAATCTACCTTTATTATTTTTACAAATAACTCAAGGTGACGAACATATCCGACACCCCTTTCTCCTTCTATTTTCCCCACAACTACAACCCTGGGAGGCGGGTTAGGCTGAGAAACAGTGACTGGCCCAAAGTCACCCAGCTGACTTTCATGAGTAAGGCAGAACTTGAACTCATAATCTCCTGGTTTCCAGCTTGGTGATTTAAAAACTAGACCAAACTGGCTCTCCTCCATGATATTAATGGTAAGAACTGGAATATACTATGGTAACCCTAACCCAGGCGGAGTTCGCTTTTTTTTTCCATTTTGCCCTAGGAGAGAAACATCTTCCACTACCTAGCATTGAACTCCCGGCCTTCCAAGTGGAAAGTGAGCATCTTCACTACTAGGCCACCATTCTGCTCAGCAGAGCATATACTACAAACCATTTAAAAATACATGATATACAACAGCTCAACTTTATGAGGGTGGATTTCCTGAAGTACTAATCAAAAATGTTCATCTTGCCAGAAAGAAGATTCATACTCGGAAGACAAAGCCAATTTCCTTTTACCTGGATATGGAAGAGCTATCTGCATACTGGGGCTGTGATGGTAATCCAAGGAAGTGAGCATTTATACAGCTCTTCTACTTTGCTCTTTAGAAAGGCTTTCTTGTTTCCTGGAACCAGTCTGGGAACTCATCTGTTATGCTACCAAATAAGAAAATGTTAAACAATATCAGCATTTTGATTACAGGTAGTCCTTGACTTACACTAGTTTGGTTAGTGATCATCCAAAGTTACAACGGCATTGAAAAAAGTGACATGACCATTTTTTTCAGTTACTTTTGCTCATGATCATATGACTAAAATTCACAAGAAAATGGAGCAAAACTCATTCAAGAAACGTCTTGCTTAACAGAAATTTTAGGCTCAACTTTGATCATAAATCGACGACTACCTGTATATCTGTGAGAATGCAGGAAATGACTTTGTAGAGCTAATCAATCAAATGTTTTGATCACTCAGACTTGCCTTTCTTCTCATTTTCAAAGCAGTCTCCCGTATCATTTTGCCTTGAAAGTGTTCAAGTGGCATGACTCAGCTTCAAATTTTTAATTCTTAAATTATGATTCTATGGAAGCTCTTTAGATGAATTTTGGTCAAGCAACCCAACCTATCTTAGAGGGCAACTGCTGTTGGAAAAGTGGAAGACTACTACGGGCATGATCTCAAGATTCTGAAGGAGAGGCAGAATATAAATCTAATGAAAAAAATTACCAACAAACAAGGAAACATCCATTTAGCTTTGACTTTATATATTTGACTTAGATTGTTCTACTCTCATTCCTGGTCTTGCTTTAAAATTAAAACTAGCATTGTACCTTGTAAAGGTTGTACCTGGAATCTGTTCATTTGTTTCTGTGTAAGCTAAATGTATTATATGCATTATTTTTTTTACAGATATCATCATACTGCACCTATTAGCACATTCTTCTGCTTGCGAGAAGCTTTGGCAATTTTTGCAGAAAAGGTCAGTTGCTGCAGGCATTCTATAATATTGAAAATAGTGTTTTTTTAAAAAGAAAATGTTACTATTTTGTACACATTGGTATGACACTACACACCTGTAACATACTTAGTCCCACTTAAGTGGGCGGTTCAAGCTGGTGGTCATTGAAGACACAGTAACCAAGCCACTTGGGAGTTCCAATGTGGGATTCCCCAGAATTTGGTCATCTCCTTCATATTGTTTAACATCTATATGAAACTTCTGGGATAGGTTTTAAATTGGTTCGGGTTGAGGTATAATAAATATGTAATGTTCACATCTCTGGACTCTGGAAATTTTGAACTGACACCCAGAAGCAATATATCTGGATGTGACACTGAGTTATATTATGCAATGCCTTGCCAAAATAGAATCTACCTCTTTTGTGAACACTTAAGGTCAGTTAAGGTTCAACAGGGCAGGGGTAGAAATGCTGCAAATGTTTGGAAGCTCTTATTTCTGCCAAGTTTTTACTAAGTACTGGCTAAATGGATGTTTTGAGTCTGTAAACAAGAGCACATAAATATTATGTATTCAAATATACAAAAAGATGCTGTGCTTAACTTTGTACCAGAGACTGTATTACCTATTGGTCACTTATAGAATTTGACCGAGGTGCTTGAATTTTTTGCATACAAGTGCATTAGCAAGGCTACTGTTTTCTTGTCATAACATGCTGTTCTGAAAGAAAATGGGTATCTTTGAATTCTGCTAGTGCAGACTGCATTTAGAATTCTTCTTTCAATATTGGATGAAATAAAATCAAATTTTCATTGGAAGCATCAGTATTACAGTTAAAACTTAAACATTATGGATATAGGCAAAAGAAGGCAAGTTTGTAATGCTGGGGAAAAATTTAAGGCAGTTAAATAAGAACCGATAGAAGACAAAATGGCTAGAACTATCCATGATCACTTATGTCACAAGAACTCAGAAACAATTGCTGGGAGACAAAATTATGCCCATCACATCCTTAGATTGGAAGTTTAACTGAACAACAAAGTGCATAATATAAATATATTTGCAAGTTTTTAAAACTATTTTTTGTATATAGGAAAATAAATATTTTCATTTTTTATGCAGGGACTAGAGACTTCCTGGAAGCTTCATAAAGAAAACAGCCTCTATCTCTGTGCAGGACTGCAGAAGTTGGGTCTCAAACTCTTTGTGAAAGAACCAGTAAGAATGAAATTAATCATGAATGTAGAATATGGATCAAACTAATGACTCATGTTTTATGTAGGAAAGAGTGTTTAAATTTGGAAACTAAGCAAAGGAGAAAATAAATTGATTGCTACAAAGACAAAATTAAACATGGGAATCAGAATTAAATCCTAGCCTCAGATACTATTTCTACCCATACTTCTTTACATAGCAGACTAGAAAAAAACATACATCTCTCCAGACTTTAAGCCAGAGGGAAAGAACATATTGGAGGTATGAAGACTTATTCCGCTTTCATAACTTGAAAATATTTTTTGTATGGTGGCAAAACCTGATCCAAAAGTGCATAAAGATATGCAATTTTCTGAACTTACCCATTCATTAATAGATAATTGGTTATTTTTGCTAAGAGGCTTCTCAAAAAATGAGTGTAAGAGACACAAAAAGCCAGAACTAAAGAATAACTTTCTTTCCTATTGATACAATTTCTTTTAAATTTCGGAGATAAAAGTGTTATTCAAATACCCAAACCATCTGAATGGCTCTTTTGCTTTCTTTCTTTTCTAAGGATGCAAGACTTCCAACAGTCAACACTATCTTTGTGCCCGAGGGGTATGACTGGAAGGAAATAACTGAATATATTATGAAAAATCATGAGATTGAGGTCTCTGGAGGTCTGGGACCTTCAGCAGGCAAGGTAAATATAGGCTCATGGGGAAAAAAAAAAGTGAAAACGGATGTGGCTACCTATGTAATATATCATTTTGTGTGTAATATACAGTATATTTGTCCAAGCAATCACAAAACACTTACTTAAATGTTTTTTATCATTAGGTTCTTCGCATTGGATTGATGGGCTACAACTCCACTAAACCCAATGTTGACAGAGTCCTCCATGCCATAGGAGAGGCCCTCCAGCACTGTCTCAAGAACAAACTCTGAGCTCTTTTCACTTTCACATTCTTCAATCTGCTTTGTGCAGAAGCTTCTACAGTTCATTCGTCAAGAGAGCACAGATAATTAACCAAGGTGTTGGAGGCCCTCTGCACAAGTTTCTTAATTGCATAGTTCAAAAATACATATGTAGTTACAGCTTACATTTTACACAAGGATAAAATCTGTTTTCATTTCAATTAATTTTTACTCACTAATATAATCAAATTATATGCAAACTACTAAGTGGGAATTTGGCTTGTGTCATTCCTTTTGCATTTCTTCACTGAATGTATAGTCTTGTGCAAAGTGACTAATGTTTACACCATAGACACTCTGCATAGCATACAGGTATTATCTAAACTCAAGTAAATTATTCAATTCTGGAACCTGTTGGGCACACAATGCTGAGATACACCTCTTTCAGCTGTAAGTTATAAGGATGCCACAATTGTGACCAAGTGAGTGACATCAATGAAGTTAATTTGAAAAGATAACTTGGAAATTGTCTGCCCAGCAAGAAAGAAAGCAAATTAAATTTGAATCACTTAGTAGTTAATTCCCCGTATCACTTCCTACTTCTAGAAATCTTGCAATGATAGAATAATTTCTAAACAACTATATGGCATTTGTCATATTTTTTTAAAAAATATTTTAAAGAGCACCTGAACATTCAAAAGTAAAAAAACTTTTGGGTGAAAAAATTATGATAAACAGCATCCAGCGAATTACTATTAGATAACATTGCATGTAAGTTACAACAAAATGCTGCCAAACGAAGAATATCGTTTATCAAACATGGTTTTATTATTGTTCAGTACCAACTTATACATAAAAAAATCTCAAAAACTTTGAAAGAGGACAGTTTCCCTTGAAAACTATGTTCTTACATGCTCTTACTGAAATTGAAATTTTATGATCAGCAATCAGCAAATTAACTACAATTAATTAAAACAAACTGTACACAGAAGCACGCTCAAAATACGGTAATATTTCTTACTGACAGTATTACCAGATTAAGTCACCTTGACCTTTCTTATGGCAATAGCTGCTGATAAAAACATCGCACTTTGTTCATAATCTAAGGATTTTGGTCTGGGAACAGAAAATGTGCCATGTTCCCTCATGGAAAACAGGATAGTACAGACACATATACAGTACAGCATATAAATTGCATAGAAGGGACAGTGAAGAAATATATACCTCATTCTGATCACAGGATCAATTTCTCTCAATGAATAAAATTTTATGAAATCTTAGATTCTATATCGCCGTGAAGCGAGTCAAAGAAAAGGCTCTGTAGTGTGTGCCGAGTAGGCTAGACTGAACAGGATGTTCACAAGTATAAAATATTTCCAAGAAGGAATTCACTCCTGTAGATTGTCTGTAGCGCTCAAGTCTGTCTGATAGTGATGCTGAAGATTCTTTGATGAATCCTGGCTTTTACTTTCTCTAGGTATAGAGGTAGCAAAAATCAGATACAAAGGTTGCAGTATCACAGGTGAGCTAAGATACTTACCATCAGTGGTGGGATTCAAATTTTTTTACTACCGGTTCTGTGGGCCTGGCTTGGTGGGTGTGGCAGGGGAAGGATACTGTAAAATCTCCAGCCAGAGGTGGTATTTGCCGGTTCTCTGAACTACTCAAAATTTCCACTACTGGTTCTCCAGAACTGGTCAGAACCTGCTGAATACCACCTCTGCTTACCATCTATCTTGATGCACAGTCTTCAAGAAGAATTAATGGGGCTAATGGATCATGAAAAAATATACGCTTGTAGTCATATTGGGTTGTTGTTTTGGCAACAGTGTGGAAGCAGTTTGTCATTTTTTTTTCTAGGATATTCTTTTCAAATTCCCATCTTAGAATTTTAGGCATGGTCTCCAACAGTGCATAACATTTTTTTAAGACTGGCTAGTGTTGCTATCTGACAAATAACATCTCTATTGCAGTCAAGAAAATCATATTGACAAATGAAGTAATCAAGTATCAACCGCAATCTGAAATTTACCTTACTTTAAAGATGCACAATTTAAGGCTAAACAGTGGCAGTACTTTTTAGGGTGTTATTGCTAAGCTAAACACATCAGTTCCCATGGTACATGCACTTTCATTTATTTACTGTTACAGCTCTTTAATTTTCTGACATGCACCAGAAAGTAATTGTACATGCCACAAACAGTAACAGCTTGGTTCTACTATCTTGAATCTTTCAACAACAAAAAAAAGCTATGTGTAAAATGGTCTAGACATGTTCTATGTACCATCTTGGAGTGATTTGTGCTCACACTGAAATGTGCGTGTTTCAGTCAGAATGGAACAGGACTGTTTTTGTTCCTCTGAAGCACAACTGTTCAAAACAGTATTTGGAAGAGAAGAATGCAGGGAAAAAGAAGAACATTAGCTGTGACTGAGGGAGGCAGGGAAGTTTTGGGAGGTAAAAGCTGGTGGGCTACGTCATGCTGGGAACACCTAAGGAGAGAGAAGGCAATTATTACATCCATCAATATTGTCCTACTTGCTCTGGATTTCCTGCTAATTTTAATTCATCTGAAATCTGGAACAAAAATGGCTAAGAAAATTCTGTAGAATGTATGTAGAACATGTGCTAAGAAAACAGTACATATTAAATAGCAAAAAACAATATAGAAGAAAATAGAAAACGGTTGCCTACTCTTGGAAAATATCAACTTTAACTTAATTCAGGTTAGATTCCGTTTTCGTTACAAAACAAAATATTTCAGGGGATGTTAACTTGATCATACATAAACATAGCCAAATATGGTATTCCTGAAATGTCTTCAATCCCACAGAAGAGGAAATAAAGATGGTCTGAAGCTTCTTTTCTTTTTGTTTCTTTATCCTCCTTGGGAAATTAAATGCTGGTTTCATTGTACAAATCAATAGTTTTACATTCCTAAGATTGATTTCCCCCTTCCCACTGTATTCAAAAGGCTGAACATGTGTAATATTATTCCGCTTAATAATTATGAGCAATATATGATGATTTTCAACTTATATTTATCGTCCCAGAAAGTTGCTTCATTATATGACTGTTAAATTATTCAGACTTAGCCAGAAGCAAGTATACCAGTATTTGAACTGAAAAAAGGCACTGTTGCATTGGTTTAATATTCCTAGAGTTCAAATTACTAGTTCTAAACTAAAGTAATCAAGAAAAAATATGAGTAAAATACAAAGCAGAATAATCCAAGCACCGTTTAGCCTCAATTATAAGTGGCATTCTGATATTGCCTTTGGCCTCTTCCATTTCCAAGTCTTAGCTTTATAGCTTTTACATTTTAAATCCCTGCAATATGTCTTGTTTTCAATTACCAAGATTATAATATTTTGGGCTCATATCCAGCCTCTTCAAAATAAATCATTCAGCTATCTCCTTTTTAAAGTATTGAGTTATAGCTTATTAATGTAATATAATTTCACAAAGAGGACACAAACAACAGGGAAGGGATTATTAAAGCAAGAGCTGAGGATAGAAAAATAAAGTGTGGAAAACAGAACAGAAAGAGTACCAATGAACTTTACCACATTAAACAAAAGCTAGTGCAGAATAAGGGACTTTATGTATATTAAATTTTTAAATTAAACTTGAAAGTAAGAGGCAAATGCTCAGGAACTTAAACTCATTCAATACTGAACCATTCTCAACATAAGAATTAAAACAAACCATTTTTAAAAAGTTATTCTTGATTAATTTTGACAAGTCATGAGAGGGGAAGGCGCTTGATACAAGTCCATCTATCATATTCTTTAAAAAAGAATATTAGAATTAGAAAATGAACCTTATTTTTGTTAGAACAGTCAGCTTCCTAAAAAAGATATAGCTATCTGTGCATAGATCCATGCCTACAATATAACTTTTGAATGAAGATTTAAATGTATAATATAAATAGGCCCAAGCAATTTTAAATAATATTATCAAATAAAAGGACACTTGTTTTTTATTTACAGTGTTTGTACATATTTATAGTAACATCAAAAATATTCACAATGCAAAGTGCAAAATGTCACTGTTATCACTTACCATCTTAATATTTCATCAATTCATCTTGCCCACCCCCATTATCCAGATTGTCTTAGCATATCTTCCTTCCATATACATAGCCACTCTAAAAGCAATTTTCAAATGTATAGCTGAAAATCTGCACATCTCAGCTATATTCAACACAGGTTTAGGCATATCTATATCTCAAAATAAATGGATATGCGTATGTGTAAATGGAGTCATTACAACAGAATTGGAACTGCCTGTGTAATAATAATAATTCAGAGTGCAAAAGCAGTGGTCAAAATAAAGAAGCAATCTCTATCCTTTCTCACAGGGAATGTATTCAGATAAAGTGATTTTTCTCAGTATTATTAAGCCTATAACCAATTGATGAATTAATTGTGGCTTTACTTCTAAAATATTAACTAGCAGGAGAACACATTATGCATACCTGCAGAAGTTCAAACCCAACAAGCTTGTAGGAATAACACTGAGAAATTATTTCACCTACTACATTCCTTGAATTGCTGACTTGCCTTTCAGAGTAAAAAAAACATGAAAACCATATATAAAAACTCTAGCTTTATTTTTGCAGTCTCCCTCCAGCTTATTAACAGTTCCAGCCAGAGGCACAAGCTCTAAAAGTTGCTTTGATATAATGCAAAGTGTCTAGGCAGCAGAATATTTATTAACTATAAATAAATGTTTGGGATATCTGAAACTGATGAGTGAAATGAGACACTCAATTTCTGACTGGCGCTCTTGTCCCTTGACAGAGATACCTGTGGGCTTAAGGCCACAGAAAACTTACTTGGTAAACAGCAAGGTATGAGACAGAGAATACAAAATGATATAAAAAACGCATCTTAATATTGTTCTTCTCTGCTCCAGGAATAACTTACTCCTCCACCATATATATTTGGTAAATAATAATTAAGGTCTGATTTAAAATCCAGATTTTTATGGGGATGCCTATCATATTTCCAAGAGCGTACCTCCAACCAGCAGTCAATTCTTTTATTTATATCAATTCACTGTTATGATGTCATGTTATGAAAAAGTAACACAGAGTTTTATAATAAATGTAAGTTTCTGAAGCAGTATTGTATCTGCATGGGGAACTCTAACTTTGTCGCTGGAAATTCCTGTAGGTATAATTTCCACAATTCCAATTTTGGTATCATTTATGTTTACTGAAAAATATTCCATTTGAGGATCTTGGAATTCTGCTTTCTTAAATCCAAGGAGCCGTCACTAGTAACAAGTGGCAGTAAGAGGCAAACATAAATCACATTGCATGTGTTACCTGTCATGTAAGTATCTTTTTGTTTTAAAAGAGGAAGTACAGGTACATTAAGCTGAGGTTTAACAAATGCATATATTTTACTTAAAAACATTCATCTGATCAAAATAAACTTCATGGGACAAAACTGTTATTAAATAACATTTCAATTCAAATTGTATATAATTTTTAAAGTTTTCATACAGCAAACAATGGTTCACCCTTGAAAATCTGTAGAAAAAAATCACACACACACACACACAGAAAAGGGGGGGGGAGAAAAAGAAAAAGCTCTGAGGTATCACACCCACCCAGACACAGCCTTACATTAGCTGTGGTATAAGCAGAATATTGTAGGCCCAAAGAAAAAAGACTACTGATTGTTCTAGTAGAGTTCAGGTAGTTCAGACAAAAATATCCCAGAATAGATATCTGAATAGAGGAACTACCTCAATAAAGTCCTCAAGTGCATTGGAGACCTGATCACTTAAACTGCTCCTGCCAAGCAGCTCCCTGCACCTGAGACAAATGCAGCCCAAGGTGCCTTGTGCAAAAGGTAAGGAAATTAGGTGCAGCTATTTCCCATTATTCCTTAGTATATAGCTCTGAAAATTATATGAAAGTTCGACTTCTCTTTCATCACGCAAGATACTGCTGGAGTGCTGTTTTCGCCCTGCAATGAAAAGCATTTTTTTTTAAATTTTAGAGGATATACATAAATGGGATTTAGAAATACTGCCATGCAAGGAATAAACTACAGCATTGAAAACTGGGTGCATGAAGTTCAGTAACTGAACATCCCCAAAATAATCTGCTCTCAATTTTACTACATGGGTCTTTGTACTTAGAATCAACTATTCCTTTTCTATTTATAATTTCTCAAGCAGCTTTCACATGTGTGTATGCATTTTACAACTTTGAGAACTTAAAATATTTTGGACTGAAGCTGATTGAAATGAGCAGCATGTGAAAACACAAGGATATTTCAGTCAAATATAATAAATGGGGAGGGGAGATATTAAAAGGGATAACTCTATAAATGTAGACTTTTGCTTGCCTTTTAAATGATATGTTGCCATGCTGTTAAATGGGGCTGCCTTTGAAGAACATCCAGAAGCTGCAACTCATTTAAAATGCACCTGTCTGATCAGTGACGAGCACTCTTCAATGTACACACATTACACCACTCCACCATGAGCTGCTTTGGCTATCAATATGTTTCTGGGTGCAATTCAAAATGCTGGTGGCCGCTACAAAGCTATTCGTGCCATGGGACATTTATTAGGATATTTTTGGAACTGCCTTTTTCCAATCATACCATCCAATCTGGCAGAAAAGGCATTATATGGGGCCCCTCAATTAAGATGTGCCATCTTGTG